TTCTTTGGTTCTAAATCAATTTTTGGAGTATTTTTTCTAGATCTGTAAAATACGCTGTTGGTATTTTAATAAGGATTGCATTGACTCTGTATATTGCCCAGGGTAGTATGGACATTTTAATGATGTTAATTCTACCAATCCATGAACATGGTATATTCTTCCACTTGTTTATACCTTTATCTTTTTTTTCAACATCCTGTACTTTTCCAAATACAAGTCTTTTACCTCCTTGGTTAAGTGTATTCCTAAGTATCTTAAACTTTTTTGCTGCAGTGGTAAATGGGGTTGTTTGTTTGGTTTCTCTTTCTGAGAACTCAGTATTGGTGTATAAAAAAAACCCAATAGATTTTTGAGTATTTTGTATCCTGCTAATTGTCAAATTTATTTATTAAATCTAGTAGTTTTTTGGTGGAGTCTTGAGAGTTTTCTATATACAACATCATTTTATCTGCGAATAATGAGAGTTTTACTTCCTCCTTTCCAATTTGGATGCCTTTTATTTCTTCTAGTCTGATTGCTGTGGCTAGGACTTCCAGTGCTATGGTGAATAAGAGTGGTGAAAGTGGACATCCCTTTCTTATTCTTGTTCTTAGGGGAAATGATTTTAGTTTTTGCCCATTGAGTATGATGTTTGCTCTAGGTTTGTCATATATGACCTTTATCATGTTGAGATATGCTCCCTCTATTCCCACTTTGCTGAGATTTTTTTTATTATTAAAAATGGGTATTGGATTTTGTTAAATGCTTTTCCTGCGTCTATTGACATGATCATGTGATTTTTGTCTTTCAGTTTGTTTATGTGATGTATCACATTTATTAATTTGGAAATATTGTAACAGACTTGCAACCCTGGGATAAAACCCACTTGGACCTGGTGTATAATCTTTTAAATATATTGCTGGATGTGATTTGCTAATATTTTGTTAGGATTTTAGTATCTATGTTCATCAGGGATATTGGCCTGTAATTCTCTTTCTTTGTAGGGTCTTTATCTGATTTTGGAATTAGGATAATGCTTGCCTTAAAAAAAGGGTTTGGAAGTGCTCCTTCCCCTTGGATTTTTTGGAATAGTTTGAAGAGCATAGATGTTAATTCTTCTTTGAATGTTTGGTAAAACTCCCCTGTGTAGCCATCTGGACCCGGGCTTTTGTTTGCTGTTATTGTTATTATTATTATTATTATTATTACTGCTTCTATTTCATCAGTTGTTATTGGCCTATTCAGGTTTTCTGATTCTTCCTGATTCATATTTGGGAGATTCATCCACATTGCCCAGCTTGTTGGCATATAGTTGTTCATAGTATTTTCAGTGATTACTTCTCTGCTTTCATTTCTGATTTTATTTGGGTCCTCTCTCTTTGTTTCTTGATGAATTTGGCTAACAGTTCATCAATCTTGTTTATTCTTTCAAAGAACCAGCTCTTTGTTTCATTGATTTTTTTGTATTGTGTTGGTTGTTTTTTGGTGGGATTTTTTTTGTCTCTATATCATTTATTTCTGCTTTAATTTTATTATTTCCTTCCTTCTACTTACTCTGGGCTTTTCTTGTTTTTCTATTTCTAATTTTTTAAGTTGTAGGGTTAAATAGTTTATAGTTAATTTGTCTTGTTTTTTTTTTGAGGTAAGCTGGTAGTGCTTTGAACTTCCCTTTTAGGACTGCTTTTGCTGTGTCCCAGAGATTTTGGGTTGTTGTGTATGTTCATTTTAACTTGTTTCCAGGAATTTTCTTTATTATTATTTTTTTTTTTACTCATTGGTAACCCATTCACTGTTTAATAAATGTCATTTAGTCTGCATGTGTTTGAATGTTATGGGGTGTTTTTACTGTAGTTGATTTCTAATTTCATTCCACTGTGATCTAAGATGATGCTTGATATGATTTCAATCTTCTTGAACTTGTAGAGATTTGTGTCCTAACATATGGTCTATCTTAGTGAATTTAGATCACTTTCTTGATGTTATTTGATGCACACAAATTCTTAACTCAGAAGAGGTCCAGTTTATTTTTTTGTGGTTGCTTACTCCTTTGGAATGACATCTAGGAATCCATTCTCAAAACCAAAGTCATTCCAGCTTTCTTTACACAGCATTAGCATGTATCTTTTTATTCTTGTAATTTTAACCATTTGAGTTCTATTTAAGGTGAAATTTTTCTAGGCACCATGTGTTAAGCTGTGTGTGTTTTTTTGTTTATGTTTTTTTGTTGATGTTTTTAATCCATTCTGACACTCAGTGCCTCTTAATTGGGATCTGAACATCCCAATTTATTTTATCTCCCTTGTTAGATTATTAACTATAACTTTTGGTTAGTTTAGTGGTTGCTTTAGGGCTTTGAATTTGAGTATTTCATTTATCACAGTATTTGTTCAAGTGATATTATATTACTTCACATAGAATATAAGAACTTACAATAGTTTATTTCAATTTACTTCTCCTCTCCTGGCCTTTCTGCTATTTTTTTCATACAATTTGCTTCCATATGTGATATATCCTAACAATAGATTTTCAGGTGTTATTTTTGTATTTATTATTTAAACCTCATTTGTTGAGGTTTAAATAATTTAAAAAAAAGTCTTACATGTTTACCCTATATTTCCTGTCTCTGATACTCTTATTTCCCTTCTATGGATTGAGATTTCTATTTGTTAACCAATTACACATATATTAATATGTCTCTTGAGGTTGCACTTCCATTCATTAATATTCTGTTTGCAAATTTTTAAAGTTTGTTTTCTCTGTGTCTATCTGAGCACCTCAAAGAGCATCTGGCACACTGTGGGTGCTTTCTAATCAGATACCACAGGGAAGAATTCCACACACAGACAGGCATCTATTCGTCTAATCCTCATGGTCTCTCACACACCATCATATCACACTCCTGCTCCAAGCTCCACCAGTATGTTCGTTTCTATTACAGCAGATTCTCAGAGGTAACATCACAAATCTCAAACACACTATCACATGGTCACCAAAACACAGCATGCCCACCTCAGCACATAGAGTTTTATATAGGTACTCTCATAGAAACACACACATACACAAACAATGACAGAATCAAAGGGTATTTGCACCAACTCACAAAATCACAGTCTGGTGACAGAAACTCATGTCTAGACAATAAACAAATAAGTAACTTAAAATATAAACACTATTGTTCTAACGGGGTATACAGTTAGTTACATTAAGGAGCCATGGAGTGCCAAGGGAGAGCTGTGATCAGGTAAAGCCTCTTTGGAAATGTGACATTTTTATCTGAATGTAGGGAGTAAGGGAAATTCGAAGATACCTAACAGAAGGCCCATATTAGAAGAGGGGTCACATTCAATCCCATCATCACTAAATCACAAATAGCAGAACCATATGCAAACGGTTATGCGTTCTACCCTATCCCCACTCTCGTCCCACCCACCCCCATCTGCAAGGTAAACTGTTCCCTGAACTAGAATGCCCTTAGGCAGGAGTGGGCAACCTTTTTGTGAGTCCATGCCAAAACCAGCAAAATCTCTGACTCAAAATTCTTCTGCTTGCCAACCCTAATTTTTTGAGAACATGTTACGCCTACTTGATATCTCTTAAGGTGTACGTATGTGAAAAACCTTGAAATAATAAAATTCATTTGAGCGACAAAAACACAGTATATGATGATGAAAAATACATTTATTTTTTAATGTATACATGTACAATGATAGTCCGACAGAAAACTTTATGATTCTGTTTGGTATTATCAGTGGGACTTTTGCTGCTGCATCACTGATGACAGAGATTTTACATCAGGTTTATATTTCGTGCCCTTCAGAGATATGCACGAGCTACTACTTTCATCCGTCAGGCTACTCCTATTACAAGACTTAACAAAATTCATCACTGAGAACAAAGATTCACAATTGTAAATGTAAGATTATAAGAGAGGGTTTCGCATGCCAGCAAAAGTTACTGGCATGCCATGTTTGGCACGCGTGCCAGGGGTTGCCCACCCCTACCCTAGGGCCTGGGAGGAAGTACAATATGCCTGTACATTCTAGTCCAGTGATGGTGAACCTATGACACTCGTGTCAGAGGTGACACGCAAACTCATTTTTTGGGTTGATTTTTCTTTGTTAAATGGCATTGAAGAAGTCTTTGTTTTACTATGGTTGCAAATATCAAAAAATTTCTATATGTGACACGGCACCAGAGTTAAGTTAGGGTTTTTCAAAATGCTGACACGCCGAGCTCAAAAGGTTCGCCATCACTGCAGTCCCTGCTCCCCCCCACACACCTACTTTTGGGGGATACCCTTACGGAATTCTGGGAAATATCCCTTCTCCCACTTTGTGTGTAGATGCATGCACTATCAGTGATGGCATAAAAGACAATACAACTAATAAATAACAACACCAAGATCAACTAAATACTCACTGATTCTTATGATAGGGTTTTTTGGTTGAAAAACCCTAACTTAACTCTGGTGCCGTGTCACATATCGAAATTTTTTGAAATTTGCAACCATAGTAAAAAAAGATTTATATTTTTGATATTTATTTTATATATTTAAATGCCATTTAACAAAGAAAAATCAACCAAAAAAATGAGTTCGCGTGTCACCTCTGAAGCGGGTGTCATAGGTTCGCCATCACTGCACTAGATCCAGCCTACACAAACCCTGCGCCTTCGGCTAATCTCGGGCTCTAAATTCTTCAGCCCGGGTCGCTAAGGGTTGTGGACCGGGCCCCCGCACACTTTAATCTTAGGCCATCTAGTGTGAAACTTGGCTCCGTCCCTGCTGCGGACCCAGGCCCAGAGCTAAGAGGAATAGGGACTTGGGGCTTCTTTTGGAAGATCTGGAAGAGACCCGCAAGAGGACCCGTGGCAGAGGGGGTGGCGTTTGCAACCCTTCGTGCGGACGCAGTTGGATTCTGTGGCGTTGGCTACGGGTTTTTTTTCCTGGTCTGGACTACATTTCCCAGTGGACACCGCGTGCATCAGTCGGTGGCTCTTTTGTCCCTTCTTTCCCGGCCCTGGGGGCTGGGTTCCGTGAGGCACTCAGGGCTGTAGGTGGGCCCTAGTAGAAATTGCCGGAGCCTTGGTGGCGAGGACCGTATCTTCCCGCCGTTCAGTTCTGCAGGTAGGGAGTGGGCTGAGGAGTGGCCTGTGAGTCTTGGGCCTCGGGGCCGTGGCTCCTCTGTGTGACGTGGTAGTCGCTATGGTGCCGTGTGAGACTGTCACACGATGTGCCGCACACATGTATTTGTGTGACTGTGGGTGCGAGTAAGTGCGAGGTTGGTGTCACGGGGAGTGAGACTGTGAGCAGGGGTGGGAGAGTATTCTCTGCCCCTCGTTCCCCTACCCTCGGCTCCGTGTGGGTGGTGAGCGAGACCGTCGGTTGTAACACCGAGTATTTGAGGTTAGGGGCATGGGAGAGAGGGCGAGACTGTGTCCATACCCGGGGCCTCTGACTGTGATGTCTGTGAAATGGTGGTTGACGCAGTCGTTTTAAGAATCAGTGAGTATTTATGGAGATTGAGACTGATCTATTGAAGAGGACCATGAAGTCAGGAAGATCTTTAGTTGATCTTGGTGTTATTTATTAGTTGTATTGTCTTTTATAAATGAATTATATTACTCGGAGTTTTTATTTATAAAGTCTAAAAAATCTATTGTTAAAAAATATACTAGGAAGTGATTTAGGCATGGATTAAATGGTATGCAAATAAATTCCCAGGTTTCCATTATGCTTTTTTTAAAATTTAAATTCTTTATTGTTCAAAGTATTACATATGTCTCCCTTTCCCCTCTTTGACCTCTTCTCCACCCCAGCACATGCTCTCACCTTCCTACTGTCTGTGATCATTGGTTATGCTTATATGAATGTGTACAAGTCCTTTGGTTGATCTCTTACCCCTTTCCTCCCCTACCGCCCTCCCCTGCCTTCCCTCTGAGGTTTGACTGTCTGTTTCATGTTTCTATGTCTCTGGATCTATTTTTGTTCATCCATTTATGTTGTTCATTATATTCCACAAATGAGTGAGATCATGTGATACTTATCTTTCTCTGACTGACTTATTTTGCTTAGCATAATGCTCTCCAGGTCCACCCATACTGTTGCAAATGGTAAGAGTTACTTCTTTTTTACAGCAGCAGGTAGTATTCCATTGTATAGATATG